GGCTTTCATACGTGGCAGGTCTATCTCATGCATGATTTATAAATGATAGCTATGGTCCATTAAGATAGATTTCTCAGCTTTAGGTGGGCTATAATGGAGTTATATATTGTGATTTTGAATTTCTGAAGAAGCAAAGTACATAGTAGTTGCCAACCCAAACAATAGGAGTTCCATTTGCCCTTATGAAAGGCTTTTTTTTTTTTGTATTTTTCTTTCTTCCACCTCCTCCTGTTAGAGTTCTGCTTTATTACAATCTTTACTTCTAAATATAAGTAGTCATGAGTTCTCAATGCCACCTTTTGCTCTATGGGGATGGTTATTTTTGTCTAAAGAGAATCCGCTTGCAGAAGGTAGATGAGTTTTTTTGTGACATTGCTCACAGAGAGAAGCAGTGCAGTCTGTTCTCTTCATTAATAGTGAAACTGAAATTTTGCAGTTGCCAAGATGTAGGATTGGTCATTCCTTTCTGGGGGGGGAGAAGGCCTTGGGTGACACTGCTGTAAGAGCACACCGCACCTGAAGGGGGATTAGATTTTATTGTTTGTGCCACTCTCTGGTCAGCTTTTATCTGGAGCTGCCCATCCTTCACAAACTAGCATTTCAAGGCTGGTACAAGGAAGCAAATGCTAACATGAGAAGAATCTGAGTCTCTGTCCAATATGTGAGAATCTGCAACATTTCATAGACAAGTAGTAAAACTATTAAGACAATGCTAGGGTTAAATAGAAGAACGTATTTCAACCTGTGAAATTTCGGTTTGAGGAAAAATATGGGAGGGTTATTATAATGCTTGGAGGTTGAATTTGAACAGAACTGCCGAAAATAGTAAGGAAGGATTGCTTTTTATCTCTTTTTCTTCCCTAAAACATAGAATGAAATACAAGGTTCTAAACCCATCTGGCCACGCCTCCCTGACATCATTTTCTTTGAGCTAGAATGTGTCTAAAGGCACATAAAGTGTATCATATATATATATATATATATAGCCTCCATATAGTGGATTCTCACACTAAGAATCACTTGTTGGATCATAGAGTCTCTCAGCATAAAATAATATAAATGACCTTGACCTTCTCCTTTCCCAGTTCTAATTTAAAAGAGTAAGCATTTAAGAATATATATATATATATATATATATGTATATATATAAAATGTTATATTTCATTTAAAATTATCTCTTCAAAAGTAAAACCCAGAGAGAATTTTAAAGAATTGGAGGGTAGGGATGTGCAAACAAGTAAATTAACCTGCCTGATCTGCTTTCTTTTTGTACTAAATATCCAGTCATATGAACATTTTGTAATAAATAACTGAGCCCTAACCCTTTGGGAAATTCTGGTTCTCTGTTCTTTAATTGTGGTAACTTTGTACAGAATATGTAGGCAGTACCATTCCAGCCAAGAAACCTGATCTAATTTTCTTCCTTCCTGTCATATTTGTATTCTCTGTGAAAAGCCCAAGCGGTTGCTTTAAATAAGTCTGGCCTGTGGTTAAAGTTTAAACCAGGAGTGAGATCCATCCAGAGGGGAGTGTTTCTGACACTCTGCTGCTCCTGGCCTAGGGGACTGAGAGTATTAGACCCCAGAAGCAGTCAATTTTGTAGTGCCTTTTAATACACAAAATTGTATTAACATCAACATGGATACAGATGGATGCACTGCAATAAACTGTAACCACTTGAGAAAAGCCTTTATTGACTTTCAAGTAAATAATGCACATTTTAAAGGCTCTAAATATGCATTTACATAATGTGCTATAATTTTTTATTGTGTCAACTGCTCACACACACACATCCATAAGAGATGTTTTTTCTCTATCAAAATTTTGGACTAACATCATTCTTTGTGCATTGCATTAGCACCATGCCAGATTCCTAGTGCTAGCTTCTCTTTTATAGGGCCTGATCTGACAATCTCAAAATACATTTAATGAATTTTACTAATTGATTGATTGGTTGATTCATTCGTTTAACCACACTGACTCTTTCTAAAAATAATTTTAGACTATTTAGACAAAAACTTAGGGACACTAAATACATTTAACTCAATATTAAAGAGAGAAAACCAGAAATGGGAAAAAAAGAAAAACCAAATTGACGCCATGTTGAAATGTTAAGTCTGCACTTTAGAGCAATGCAAAAACCTTATCGCTCTCCTTGTTCAAAAAAGGAGCAGGTTATCCAGAAAAGTAGCATACATTCATCACATTTAACAGATCTTTGCAATGTCTGCAACACAACTATTTTCTGTTTGAAGAAATTAAAGGTCAGGATCTTGAATGATTTATATCCAGTCCTACAGTGAACTGTGGCTGAGCCTGAAATTCTGAGACATGAGAAAGTAGGGGTTGTGAAGGATGACCCTTTGAAATGCACACTCAGCAATTGTCTAATTTGAAACTACAGGCTAAGTGATTTCCTTATATTAATTAGGAATTAATTGATCCTTATAAGTCAGTCATTGTAGAATTAACTCCATTTAGTACCATGTATTCTCAGGTTTGAGTTCAAATAAATTCTATGCCACAAGGAAAAGGTGAATAAGTTTTTTTATGTAAAATATAACCAAGAAACTAAGGTCTAAATTTAAGTTGAACATGGTTTTCTTTTGCATATTTAGCAACAACAAAAAGAAGGTGAAGTTTATTAACAGGTAAGGGAGGAATTACAAGATCCTGTTGAATTGTTTCCTCTATCAAGTTCCTTTAACATTGATCTGTCCAGTCTTTACTCCAGTGAATTTTTTCTGCTGGGCATCATTCTCTGTCGGCCACCATGATTTCATGACCTTACAATCATTCATCACTTTTTATTGAGCACCTGAAATAGTGCCACTTTATCATTAAGGTCTGCCTCCCAGGGGCTCTTGACAATGGAGTAGCCACTATTGTCATTGACATGCTACAGAAGTTGAGTATATCATTTTGTTATGTTCAGTACATTCCCAGCCTCCTTGGGGAAATGCCACATTCTATCCCTAACTAAAAACTATTCAGTCAAATGTAGGGCACTGGCTCAAAGTTTCTTACTACCAGCAAGAAAGAATATACCATATAAGATGGGGGGAAAATTCCTTTGGTTCTTTAAATCCAGTTGCACAATTGACAGACTAAAAGATGACCAGAACAAATTAACTTTTTTGCTTGTAGATTTTAATCCAGAGACCATATGGCTCCAAATATTTATCATACATTGTGTAAAGTCCTAATTTTGATCAGTTTGTCTATAAGCTCTCTGGATTTTTGGCAGGTGAAAAAAACACAACAAAGTTTTATGTCCATATTTATTTGCATGGTGATTTTATTCATTTCTGTACCACTCGTGTATTCAAACATTTATGGTACCTTCAACAGATATTTTCTGGGGATATGGCAGTGAATCGTTAAATGGGTGGAAATACTATTTAATAAATGAAGAATACTAGGAGAAGAGCAAGTCTGAGGGGTGGAAGGTGAGAAGAATTTTGGTTTGAATAGGTTATGTTCAAGATGCCCTCAATTATATGGTGAAGACAAAAATTTGTGTTGACTCAATCCCAAATCCAAAGTAGGAGCCTGTGAATGCTCATTGGCTAGATTAAAGGTTGCATGAATGAAAGGGTCCCATCAAGTCATCTACAAGATATGGACTGGACTGTTGTTACTACTCCAAACCCTCTTTCAAAACTACATATGTCATTCTGAATCTCAAAATCCTAGCCATCTCAATCATTATTCAGAAAATGCATCAGTTCTAAAGATATCCCAGTTAGGAGCAAAGAACCCATATCCAGGGGTTCTTAGGATGCATCCTTTCTTATATTTCTGGGCTGTGCCAATAGAGGGTGGTGGAAGGCGTGGCCAATCTTGCTTAGGTTTCACTTTAGTTTTATGAGTTCTTCTCAGTATTAGGAAAATTTTATTCTCCAAAAATGTGGGTATTCCTTTGTTTTCTTTGCAGGGGCTCTTTGAATTTAAATAAAAATAAGAAAAGATAAATACTCTTACCTGTTTTTTACTTGGGACCTATTTCTTGGCCTTCATTGAGAAATGTGAACTGCTATCCTGGCATTACTTGCTTTGAGTATCTTCAGCCCTCACCATGGGCTGCTCTTATTCTGCAGCAGGTTTTATTGATCACCCTTTCAACTGAAGGGCAGAAGCGCTCTCAGAAAAAATTATTCAGCATCTCACATATGTTTTTTAATCTAATACAAACTTCTTTCTGCACCAGTGAGATTTAGCAGGGTTTGAATATAAGGGATAATAGTTTTCTGAGTCTTTTATCAGTTCTTATGAGCAGAGGACCAACAGTTTAATAGGGGTCACTGGCTACTCAGCCTGTGGGTCCTCTGCTCTAACATTATGCATTTTCAAGTTTGGTTTTAAATATAAAAAAGAAAAGAAAAAAGAAGAGAAAAGAGAAGAGAAGAAAAGGAAAGATGACATAAACCTTCCATGTAAAGTGAGCCACCCAAATTGCGCAGGTTCATTAAGTGATCATTTACTACATACTTCAAAAAAATTTCATCCTGAATTGGTCCCTAGAAATTTCCTTGAAAGGGGTATAAGAGCTTTAACAATGAATTATTGTCTATGGATAGCTCAGCATGAAAGGGGATCCATATGTGCACACTAGAATTTGTCATATGTAATGTCAGTTAAATCAGGTCTAATCTACCAAATACATTTTTTATTGCTTGCTTCATTAAAAGAGCTCTTAAGGTAATGAATAATCTTCAGCTTCACCAAGGATTATTAATGCCTTTATAACTCATGTCCACTGAAAATAGAAAGACAGCTTGAAACTCTACCCTAATCTAATCTCCATGTTTGTCTTAGAGCCTTACGGAAGAAAGTCTGTCAGACCTATCCAGTGTTAAACTCAGTCACGTGAGCTACGCCATGAATTGGGTCAGGAGAAGAATTCTTTTTTTTTTTTTTAAACAACTTGAATTGGGTTTAAAAGCTGTGGCAAAGCATATCTTTTCTCATCTTAACTGTGACATTTTCTTTCCCTCCAGCAAGTCCACATGCAACACCATCGACTCTTCATTTTCCAACATCACCCATTATCCAGCAGCCTGGGCCTTACTTCTCACACCCGGCCATCCGCTATCACCCTCAGGAGACGCTGAAAGAGTTTGTCCAACTTGTCTGTCCTGATGCTGGTCAGCAGGCTGGACAGGTGGGGTTCCTCAATGTAAGGAAACCTCTTTTTTTCCTAATTTCTTTAGAAATATTAACCAAATGTAAAAATAACAAGGGGAGACCTTATGACCACGTGACATTATGCTCTAATGTTGTGCTGACTGACTGCAGACAAATGTCATATTTATTCTAGATTGTGGGAAAGTTAACTTACCCTAAGAGTGATTGGCCAGGGCTTAAAAACAGTGTTTGTGTTAAGTTTTCAACTGTCAAGTTTACGGATATAAATCATCTCAAGGGTGAACTCTGTAACCTTCCAAGGTCCGTGGGCTGATAATTCCACCTCATGCATACTAACCCTAGGGCTCATTGAGTTAGCAAAATAGAACGACCAAGTAATTTTAAATAATGGTTTGGGGTGGTAGGGAGAGGTAGAGGGGTGGAGGGGACACAGATGTTTCAGATCAACTAAGTTGATATTTTTTAAAAATACAGTCTTCTAACACTTTAGATCAAGTTGACCAGTACTTGAACTCAAGATGCTAGAAGTACAGTTTATTATGGTTTGTTATTTCTGCAAGTAGTTATCTTTCCCACTTATCTTTGTATAAAGCTAAACAGGATTCAGTAGTTTCAAATGAATGTTTTTATTTTTTTTCTCTCAAACCAAACAATCATAGTTTGAAATAGTATTCCAAACATAAAAGTAATTTTAAAAAATCATGAATTACATTTCAGCTATGGAACTACATGCTTACAATGGATAGCTACATCCCAAGGCTGATAATAAGACTAGTGACTAGTAAACAATGACCAGCATAAAGCTGAATGTGACTTCCCTTTTCTCCTAGTAACTGCACTGAAGCCACAGATTTGCCGTAATTATTACTGCCTGATTTAAAGTGTTATATCACACTGCCTACCACTGATTTTCTTCACTTGCAGAAACACCTGATTCTGCATATCTGAGAGAATAGGCAGCTTTGACTAATGTCTGGTGATGTGTTAGCAGATACATTTCTGTCTAGACAACAAATCAATATGATGCCTTTCTTCTTTTTGCTTGTGTATTCATTTGCTTGGCTCATTCTAAAGAGTTCACTTATGGACTTTTAGCCCACTCAGAAATAACACACAGGCAAGTTTGTTGGCAAGAAAGCATAGAATTCTGATCGTCAGACGAGATAGTCTTTGAGGAGCAATTTTAAAAATCTAAGTGAATGTCTATGAGGGAGTGAAACTGCCTCTGCAGAATCATTAAGCTTAAAAGCTAGGACAACAGCATCTCCTTCAGCTGAATTTTGATTTGGGTCCGGAGCCTAAATATGAGCTGTTATTGTCAGTTGAAGAGAGTCACTGAAGTCTGGAGTCATAAAGGCCACCTGGGAAACCATGAAAAAGCTGAAGTGATCGCCAGTATTAAGCATCTGACCTTTACATTTCTAACTTTCTTTAATAGTCTTGACACCATTCTATATAACTGTCAGATGCCCAGTTTTGCATTTTGATCCACATTTTATAGGCTATGAGGCAGGTCTCTTCATGGGACCATTTGGAAAAACTTGAAAATAAAATGGATTTTATTGCTTTCTTTAGAGGGAAATGTTCTTTTGTTAAAGAGCTGTTATTTGACTGTTCTAACATCAGGCAGCTAAATAAATATGACTCTTCATGGCATACATATGCTTACATCATTTAAATCAAAATTAGAAATGATTTTTTTTTCATAGCAGAATTTTGACAGCTGAATTTTAAAGTTTCTGTGCCTGATGTTATACAATATGTGTAAGAAATATTTTATGTTCACTTAACATATTTATTAAATTTTATATAATATCAACTTTGAGGAGTGAAAATAAAATATTTTTTAATCTCAAATGCACATTTAGGCAACTTTATTATATCTATATAACGACAATGGAATAATTTGGCAATCTATAAACACTTATATATTAAATAAATGTTTAATAATCATGAGCATGATGACAAAGATGGGAGTTAATACAGAATTGAAACATTCCAAGCAAAAGTTGGTGGTCATTTTATAGAACCAGATGCAAAGAAGGTCAATGTAATTCAAAAAATAAGTTTAGGATGCACTGAGCATGTATACCTAAGACTATGCTTTTGTGGCATGCCTTAAGAACAACCCAGAAACCCATATGCTCTTATGGAAGAATTCAAGTAGCTAGAATACTTAGTAATTTACATAAATGTGGCCTAATGAATCTTTTGTATTAAGAAGCAGCTAATGGTTCATTTCTGTTTTGTGTTTTTTTTTTTTTTCTTGTGTGTGTTTTGTTTTGTTTCCACCCTTGCAGCCCAATGGGAGTAGCCAAGGCAAAGTGCACAACCCATTCCTTCCCACCCCAATGTTGCCACCGCCGCCGCCACCACCAATGGCCAGGCCTGTGCCTCTGCCGGTGCCAGACACAAAACCTCCAACTACGTCAACAGAAGGAGGTGCAGCCTCCCCCACCTCACCAAGTAAGTATGGCTGAGACAAGACCACGGTCACTGATGAGGCTCTGTGCACTTGGATCCACACCTAAGCTTAGTCTCTCTCTGCATAGACTCTAGTGATAGTCACAGATCCCCAACCATGGTCATAGGATGAGTTTGCAGAACCAAGACCAGATCAACATGAACAATACTTCAGGGTACTACCAACTACTCCAAATGTGGAAATAATTGGGTGTTTGGGTGGATAAAATGGTATAACTATATTCCCAGGACTAAAATCAAGTTATGAATTATTAAAATTATTAAATTTTGCATATCATTTGAGTGGCTTTGAATGCTACCCTCAGAATCATCAAACAGAACCTACTTGAATGAATCTTTATTAGCAAAAAATTTCCTCATATTTCTGTACAGCCCAGCCTTCCAGTGATTTACAGTCCCAGATAAATGCACTTGATGAATGTGAAGGTTATACACATCAAATGGAAAAAAAGTTTAGACCAAAGTAGCAATGCAGAGATATGTACATTAAACATTCACCAAAAGTAAGAGCCTGGCAGAAGTGATCTGATGAGCTAGTAGTTGCGGAGGTTGGTTGGCGAGGCTGAGAAGGGGGAGGAGATAAAAGGTAGAAGTGGATGGAAAGAGAAAAGAACACTTTGTTCTTCTCTGAATCATCTGGGAACGTGTGGTCAGACAATATAGGATTTCAAAACCTTTTTGGATTGTATGAATTGTTATTTGAAGAATTAGAGGGAAAACAGTTCTGACATTTTAGAGATCACAAGAGGATAGACCACACAAAGTTGATTTTTATTAGTACCTGGAACAATGACAAAAAATAATGATGGCTGGAGGCATAGTTTCAGATGATGGATGGACTGCCTAATCTTGACAAAGGGTGTGATGAGCACCTTCCCTTAAGCTTACAGAGGGATCGGAATGTATAGGAAAGGTTAGGAACTGTGAGGAACTGTGACAGTGACTGTAAGAAAAGGGGATCTTCAAAGGTGGTGAGACTAGACACAAGGAATCTACTTGAGGAAACTATTAGAATATATCAGGAAAGAAATGTTAAAATCAAGAACTTGAGCAGCAGTTATAGAAGCTGAAGAGAGGAGAGCTTGAGGGGGTTATTTAGTATACACGAGCTTCGGGATTGGGCTACCACTTAGAAGAGTAGAGTGAATGATGAGTCAGACCTCTCATCTTCCTTACATTTTAGTGTTGGTATTGGGTGCAGGTGGGAAACAGGAGAAATAATCCTCTGTCGATACTGTGTTCATTAGATTTAATTCTGGGGACATTGAATCAAAATGTCTAGAGTCCCTCATGGACATGTGTTTGAGAGTAAGGTTTGGGTTATCTAGTACCTATTCAATTTGATAATACATGCAGTAGTGAATGGCATTGAGCATGGATTCTGGTTTTACAGGAAAAAAATGTTGAAAGTCCAGGGATAATTTTGGGGAGACTTACTTCTCTTGGTAAAAAGTGTTCAACACTTTTCACAAAGGAGAAAGCCCTGTGTGTCCAATGACATAGGAAGCAGACTAGGCTTGGTTTTGGTCTACAGATCTTGGAAGCTCAGCCTAGAAAGAAGAAGTCCAAAGGATAGGGGCTTGGATCCCCACCTTTTAAATTATTAGTTTCTCCTTGAATCACAGTTTTCTCATCTGTAAAATGTGGTTGGCAATACCTATCTGGCAGGATTGTGTGGAATCAGCCATGATAAGCACCACTGCTAAATCAATTGGAGCATTTTATTATCCATAGAAGGCTCCAGGCTGGCTTGGGTAGTGGTGAAATATGCCTTTAGAATGTGTAGAAGCTATTCAGCACTGAAATCAGGTCCATGCTCTTTGGGTCCACAGTTCTGAACTCCAGTCCTTGGATTGAAACAAATGCCTTGTATAAGAAGATAACTTGCCGAAACTGGTTTGGCTCAGTGGATAGAGCATCGGCCTGGGGACTGAAGGGTCCCGGGTTCGATTCCGGTCAAGGGCATGTACCTTAGTTGCAGGCACATTACCAGTAGGGGATGTGCAGGAGACAGCTGCTTGATGATTCTCTCTCTCTCTCATCAATGTTTCTAACTCTCTATCCCTCTCTCTTCCTCTCTGTAAAAAAATCAATAAAATATATTTTTAAATTAAAAAGAAGAAGAAGAAGATAACTTATCATCATCTCATGCCCAGCCTCAAAAGCTCTTTCACAGTTTGGGAAGAAGTGCCCATCTGTAAGCCAATATCCCCAGTGACTAGATTTTAAATAGAGTTTGGGGGAGGTTATTTCTCTGACTTGTTTAAAAATTCATTTAATATAGTTACATGTTTATAGGAACAGTGTTTAAAAGTTGTGAGAGAAAGGAGACTATCTAGAGAGAGGCCTAAAGTTTGATAGAGATAATTTTATACTTTTTGAATCATAGGATTCTAGAAACATAGACAAAACAAAATGTTCTATTGATGACATAGAAAGGTTTTTATCATCATAGATATAGCCCTTTACTTCTGGGCTTTTTTACGGTTTATTGAATTCACAACAAGGTGTTATTTTGCAGCTACATATCATTTATTATCTTCTCCTTTATCAATGTGACAGTGATAGTCTGGGAGGCCTATCATTGCATAGGAGAAATGTCTCCAATCAAAAATCTCAACACCTACTGGTCCACATTGAGAAGGGGTTTAAGGACCCCCACAAAATATCCTCTTCAATACCTTGATTTCTGAACCAATCTTATATAATAAAAGAGTAATTTGCAAACTAATCATCACTCTGAGTCAAGAATGAAGGCTCCCATAGCCACTGTATGGTGGTGCTAAGTCCTCTGAGCCCCGCTGGAGTCCCCTAGTCCCAATGAGGGCTGCCCCTGAGAGCTGGCAACATAAATGGCCTGGCAAAATGCTGCCCAGAGGCACTCCTGACCCTTTATTAAAAAACAAAAACAAATTCACTCCCCAAGGAGTGATTCCACACACACACACACCTGCAGCCTGGGGTCTCAACCACTGAGTCACACCAGCCAGGCAGATATGGAGGAATCTTAAATGTTTCTCTTTTTTAAAAATACATTTTATTGATTTTTTACAGAGAGGAAGGGAAAGGGATAGAGAGTTAGAAACATCTATGAGAGAGAAACATCGATCAGCTGCCTCCTGCACACTCCCCACTGGGTATGTGCCGCCAACCAAAGTACATAGCCTTGACCGGAAACAAACTTGGGACACTTGAGTCTGCAGGCTGTCATCCCATCCACTGAGCCAAACCAGTTAGGGCATTTGGGGGTGACCGGGCTGTCCAGTAGGGGAGCAGTTAAGACATTGATCAGGCTGGCAGGGGAGTGGTCAGGGGAGTGATCAGGCTGGCAGGCAGAAGCAGTTAGGGGCAATCAAAATGCAGGCAGGCGAGCAGTTGGGAGCCAGCAGTCCCGGATTGTGAAAGAGATGTCCAACTGCCTATTTAGGCCCAATCCCACAGGGATCGGACACCCCCTGAGGGGTCCAGATTGGAGAGGGTGCAGGTTGGGCTGAGGGACACCCCCCAACCCAGTGCATGAATTTCGTGCACCGGGCCTCTAGTTGATAAATAAAATGCAAGAAAAAATGAGATGGAAGACCATGTTGTAGCTTCTAGTATTAGAGAATACAGTTTATAACTCTGGGCAAATGTGCTTCCAAATTACACAGACAAATCTACCAATCACTGGAAGTGCTGTATCAGTATAGACCTTGCTATATATGATCTACCCTCCATGTAGATATGAAGGCTATGTGCTTCCTGCCAGCACCTGTCTTCCTATATGAGAGAGGCATGAAAGGGGGTGGGACAGTCCATTTTCTACTTTCAATCTGTACAATGAGTGAGCGAGTGAAGAGGGACATGGTGTATGCAAGGGAAGAAATAATAGGCGTTAAGTAGCTCCCACCTCCTCCTTTAATGTTTGTCTTTGATGTTTACCTTCCTTCATTCAGCCTTCATATAGTGAACACTTGTCATGAACCAATAACTGAGTTTAACTGCTTGGGATACAGAGACAATACCACTCTAAAGAAATATGGGATTTATATAGGGAAACTGCTGGTAGACGGTTGGCTCTCATGGGCAACATGGGATAATGGCACGCATGGGTGCTACAGGAGGACTTAGGGGAAGGAGTTTGGTCCAGGTGCAGGGCCTCAGGTAAAGGTTTTTTTTTTTTGGAGGGGGTGATTACTACGTCATTTGGTAGGGATAACATTCTGGTGTTTTGCGTCTGAGAGAGAAGGCAGAACTTTTCTTTAGAAACCAGTTTGTGGATTGGGGATTTGTCTAAAATTGGATTACCACTGGATAAAAATTTAGAGCAAAAATATAGTTTCATCAATTATGTGCCTTCTTAGAAATTAAAACCACAGGATGGTTGGATCCTGTTTATCAGTTTATTAGAGCTCAGCTTTAGCCAGAAGAAACATCATGACAGGGTATTAACTACAGATGTTCAACACCCAACAGTATGTCTAAGTTTAGGTAAAAGTAGGAAATAATGCCCAGGGTCTCCTTATTACCAACTTTTCTGGGCTTCGACTCCCTTACCTGTTAATGGGAATAACACTAGAACTGCTCTAGCCACTCTCCCAGGATGAGTGTCAGAACAAACTGGGGCGACAGATGTGCTGTGCTGTAGACAGTTAAAAGTCCAAGGCATCATTTCAATATCCTCTTATAATGGAATACAAATGGATGCCAGCCTAAAGCAGAGTATGTATTTTTAAACTAATCAGTTGCCTCTGGCACCAGTACTCAATTTTGCACTGTGGCCAGAAAGACAGGGTAAGGCAGATTTGGGGAGAAATCTGCTTATGAAATAAATACATTATAATGGGGAAAAATCCTTACCTGTGCGCCCCCCCCAAAAAAAATAAATAAAATAAAGAGAGAAGTAAGGGTGCCAGTAACAGTTCTGCTCTCTCTCAAGGACAGCTGTTGTACTGTTGATTTGTTTGGAGAAAGATTGATATACTATGCTGGTCCTCTTTAGG